GGGATTAAAGGCGTGCGCCACCACCACCCGGCTTTAATTTTGTTCTTAGCTTTTAAAAATTTGCTAGTGATGATAGTTGAAAAGGGTTTGGAGTAAAGCATGTGTTGCAGGCTGGTTAAGGAAAGGAACGCTGTGTGGTTGGCATAGGCATCACGTGTCAGAACCTACCGACTCCTAGTACCATTGGTGTGCAGATCACACTGGCTTGCTGCAGGAGCATGCTCTGACTGCAGAAGACTCGGCAGCCCACACAGATGTTACTCTGCTGCCTGCAGTTGTAGACATCACTCTGCAGGCTTGGCTTCTCAGGTCCTGGGAAGGAAGGAAAAATTAATTAGTTGTATGCATGTGTTTTTGTCTGGGCTTTTGATAAATTGTTTTATGAAGAAATGTAAGAATCCTGAGTCTCTTTTGGCAGTTCATAAGGAAACCATTTTACTAAGAATGCTGTATAGTGAAAGACACTTTCAGTTTAATCGGGTTATATTGTCAGTGTCTTTACTCTGACTTCGGGAAGGGGGCTGCAAGTTCCTCTTCCCCTCCCCTCCTCCTCTCCCTCTCCTGCCTTTGCCTTCCAAGTGCTGGAATTAAAGGCATGCACCACATTTTTAACTATGAGGGGTCTGGAGAGATGACTCGGTAGCATTGGCTACTCCTCTCAAGGACCTGGGTTAAGTTCCCAGTATATGTATGGTGGCTCACAAACCATTTGTAACTACCGTCCCTCCTTGGACACTACATGCATATAGTACATAGACACACATGCATACAAGACACTCATACATATTTTCAAAAGATCAATTATGAGCATTAACTTGGTTTTTGTTTTATTTTGTGTTTTGAGACAAGATCTCATTCTGTGGTCCTTGCTGGACTTGAGCTCAATCTGTAAACCAGGCTGGCCTAGAGCTCACAGATCTGCCTGCCTCTACCCTCTGGGTGCTGGGATTAAAATCATACACCAGAATTCTGGTTTCAAAGATCTACTTTTTAAAACAACATTAATAGGTGGCAGTATTATTTGAACAAAAGCCCACATCTGCTAAACACTGAGTTAAGTTTTGCTGTTGGAAACAGGGTTTTTAATCACTTTTACATTGTAAAAATGCTAGATTTCTATTTTTAGGAAATGGAGTTGAAATTCAGAGATGGAAACTTGGGAGGGTCCTGCTCATACTGAGTCAGCCCTGAGATGGGCCCGAGGCCCTCGTCTTCCCTTGCTTTACTTAGCTTGTCTGATAAGTCAGTGTGTACATGTGTCTGCTGAGTGTGGGGTCAGCTTATCTGCTCGGCTTTGACCTCACATAGTATCCATGCTGACCAGATGATCTGTTTCACTGAGAGGCACTCGGACAATGAGTGATGGGATTCTCTTTCTTACTCTTTGTGATTGATGAAAATTGATAATTTTGTTCACATTTACTATTTCTATGTGTGTGCTCATGTGCAATTACCACCTCTCCTTGAACATCAGTTCTTTTCTTATTAATCCTGAGCATTTATTTCTAACTTGATTAAAAGATTTTACTATATGGTTACTGAATGTCTTATTTTTCTTATTTTGGCTCTCTTAATTCAGTTTAAAAATACTGTTTTAAATTGTAGCCTACAATCTTTATATTGGGTGGGGAACAACTTATTTATTATTATTTTTTTTATTTTTTGTTGTTGTTGTTTTTGAGACAGGGTTTCTCTGTATACTCCTGGCTGTCCTGGAACTCGGTCTGTAGACCAGGCTGGCCTCGAACTCGGGAGGCAGAGTGCTGGGATCAAAGGCGTGCGCCACCACCGCCCAGCTCGTTTATTATTTTTTAATAGCTTTTTGAGACGGGTCTTTCTGTGTAGCTGTGGCTGGTCTGGAACTTGAAATGTTGACCAAGGTAGCCTTGAACTCACAAGGAGATCAGCCTGCCTTTGCCTCCTGAATGCTGAGATTGAACAAGTGTTTTAATATGTTGGCTTGCCTGTGCTGTGGCATGTGTGTGTGGGTCACAGGACAACTCCTAAGAGTTGTCCTTCTTTCTGGGAGGCTGTGAATTCTCTCCTTCTACCCTGTGATTTCTGGAGGTCTGATTGTCAACTGCAGGAAACCAGAACATGCCATTTGAAAATGGGCCTCTTTGAGACAAAGATTATTCAGAAAAAGTCATGTGGAAGTCAGGATGGTATTGGGCCTGGCAGAGCATGGTTCAGGCAGTGGGGACTAGGGAGAGGCATAACGCCTGTGGAGGTAACCCTTAACTCCCCAGACCCCATACCTCATGCCCCTATCCAGCAGATGTTACAGCTCTTCATGTTTTTGCTGAGAAGCTTTGTTACCTGGTTGGAGATAGTGGGACTTATGGGATAAATTGTTTGCTTTGGTGATTGTTTGGTTGGCTATGGAGTATATTTATAGCTTCTTTCATTCCGGATCTAGTTATGGTGCTAGTGGCAAGCTATTTAGCCACTTCCCTGTCTGTAAAACAGAACTAATCGCACACATGTGTGGTGGGGGCCATCATCATGAATAATCACCCAGTGTATGTAAGAAGTTCAGTGCCATGCTGCTCTGTGTCACTCACTCCCTCTCTAGTAACCTAGGAAAAGGGAAAGACTTAACCAGTCTCTGCTACTTTATCATTAGGTTTTTCTCAGGCCTTAAAATAACTTGCTGTAACAGAACACTGGAATTGATATTTCTCATTTAATCTCTTTTTAAATGTTTGTGTTCCTGTGCATGCACACATGCCTCAGCCTACAGATGGAGTACAGAAAACATGGGTCCTTTCCTTCCGGCTTGTGGGGTCCAGGACGGATCTCTGGTTGCCAGGAACAGAAGCAAGTGCTTCTGCCCTCTGAGCCCTCTCACTATCTCTTTCCTTTTGGTCAAGTGTGTCCTTGTGCTTCAGGCTAGTTGGCAAGCCTTTTCTCCTGTCTGAACCCTGAGATAACAAAAAAGGAAGTTGGTTAATGTTAAGTCATATACCGAAATTTTAATGTTTTTTGAGGAGGGAGCCACTGTCAGTCTTTGTCACATTCAGCTACAGTGAATTGGCACCACTCCTGATGCTCAATTCCTGCTGTATACTTGGTGAGCTTGGCTGTGACGTATACAAAGGCGGGGACTGTTTTTATCCGCCCACATAGTCTCTTTCAGATTCTTGTTCAGTTTGAACTTTGTCATAGACGTCCTTCTGAGTGACACAGAGACAGATCAGATTGGCAGCATAGAAAGGTGTTCTGAACTGCTGTTCTGTGCTGTTGGTGGCATTTATGAACTCCCTGTGTGCTGTGCACTGGTCTGTATTTCACAGCAAAGTCAGACCTGTTAGAGGGAACAGATCAAACAAGAACTGCTCTTCACTGGGATCTGCAGCTTGAGCCCACATCTTGCAAGGGCAAGAAGATACTGTGTAGAAATCTGGACTAAGTTAAAATAATCTTTAGCCAGGCAGTGGTGGCGCACGCCTTTAATCCCAGCATTTGGGAGGCAGAGGCAGGCAGATTTCGAGGCCAGCCTGGTCTACAGAGTGAGTTCCAGGACAGCCAGGGCTACACAGAGAAACCCTGTCTCGAAAAACCAACCAACCAACCAAAAAAAACCAAAAAAACAAAAAAACACCCTTTGAATTGATTGGTAACACAGCTAGATTTGTTGTAGTTCTGTCTTTTGAAAGACTCGCACTTGCCTCTTCAACTCTGTGTGTCTGTCTACATGACTCTCTAGAGGGCTCAAACGGTGTGCATGACCACAGGTATGACAGCAAGTGCTTGTTTTCCCAGTATGAGCAGAGGCAGGAGGATTGGCGCCCAGGGCCAGCCACAACTATGGGTTCCAGGCTAGTCTGGGCGATGAGGCCCTCCCTGTCTCAAAACAAATATGACCTACATATTTTAAGTTTGATCATGTGGGTTTTTTTTAAACTGGCCTTTCTGGTAGTATTATGCCACCTAGTGGCACATTTGCAGGGTGGCTGGCTGAAATATTAGATGTAACACTGGAGGCTTGAGATTCTTTAAACCAATGATTGTCATGTTCAAGCAAGAGTTTACCACACATGAAAGCCTTAGTAAATGAGGCTTAATAGAGCCCTCACATTATAAACTCAAAAAGAAATACCTTGTATTTATCGTCTTAGTGTTTGGAACTTAACCAAGATACATTATTTTTCTGGCAGTCAGTATGTAAATAATGGTTGCGGTGTGGCTTAGGGCAACCCTTGTCGTGTAGAGTGTATCTGGCTTTGCACCTCTGCTTCAAGAAGGACAAGGGATAGTTTTCAGTCATGTTGGTATAGTTCTGGGCTAACTTGGACTTAACAATGGAGGAGAAATGATCCAGTGGACAGAAGTGCTACCTAGAGAAAGAACCCCGGGGTCTGGAGGATGAGCTCTGTTCCCAGCATGCCCACATGGTGGCTCATAACTGCCTCTTAACTCCGGCTCTAGGGGATTGGCAGCCTTTTGTGGCTTGTGCGGCCACTGTATGCACATGGTATATATGTGCACAAGTATACATATGTATATATACATGTAGATAAAGCACTCATACACAGAAAATAAAATAAATCTTAAAGCCTAGTCTGGGCTTATTACTTGAAGTGTTTTTACCAAATCATTGGGTAAGCTTTTATTACTTGGATATAAATAAAATTTAGAATTGTTTCAAGATTGAAGTCTTGATAGTCATTTATTAAACATAATTTATTTTGTGAAATGTATGTTGACACTGGGCCTTGATTGGCCTAGAACTTGCTATGTAGACCAGGCTTACCCAGAATCCTTAATCTTCCTGACTTAGGAATCCTTAATCTTGCAGCCTTCTGAATGCTGGAGTTAGAGGCTTGCACCACCATGCCCAGCATAATTACAAAGCATCTGAGCTCTAAGCTTATGCAAACACACTCACTCATAACAGAAACACCCCAGGACCACAGGATACAGCCATTCTACCGTGTGACATCTTCATAGACAATACATGTTTTAATGCTTTAATCTTGTCACCTCTTCTTTCGTAGTTGCAGATCTGTGGTCAGGATGAGTGGACTAGGTGAAAGCTCCTTGGATCCGCTGGCCGCTGAGTCTCGAAAACGCAAACTGCCCTGTGATGCCCCAGGACAAGGGTAGGTGATGGATGGGAGAGCTGGGGTTGGTGTTTCTTAAGGCCAGAGGCTAATCAAAGGTGGCACTGAGGGGGGCTGCAGGGACTTCTTCAGTGTATGCTTTGTGCTACCACATCTGATGGTTCTTGTTGGCTGGGTTTAGTTTATTTCACACAAAGCTAATGGGTGATACGGGGTAGATTCTGCTTAAAGCTTTCTTGAGAGGTGTGAGTCGTGGCTTTTCTCCATCTTCCAGTCTTGTCTACAGTGGTGAAAAGTGGAGACGGGAGCAGGAGAGCAAGTATATAGAAGAACTGGCCGAGCTGATATCTGCAAATCTTAGTGATATTGACAGCTTCAATGTCAAACCAGATAAATGTGCCATTTTAAAGGAAACAGTGAGACAGATACGTCAAATAAAAGAACAAGGTAATACAACGTTAGAAAAACACCCAGTCTTCTAATATGTGTGAAATCTCCCCTCCTCCTCCCATTTTGGATCAAGGAGATTGAGTAGGGCCTCACTCATGCTAAGTAAGACTTTACCAAAGTCCCATGAGTTGACTGACCAGCTTTGATTTTTAAGAAACAATTAACAGAGAATTGGCAGAAGTCCGATGTTCTTCAGCATGCAGAGTGCTTGTGGGAGGGAAGCTCTGGGGACTAAGGACTAGCATGTGAGCAGAAAGGGAGCCAGGCATCTTCTGCCTTCCTGGGAAACCGTGAGGCTTTTCTCTTATCGGCCAATGTGTTGTGCATGCATGTATACCTACCGATCTCTCTCTCTCTCTGTCTCTCTCTCTCTGTCTATGTCTCTGTCTCTCTGTCTCTGTCTCTGTCTCTGTCTCTCTCTCTCTCTCTCTCTCTCTCTCTCTCTCTCTCTCTCCCTCTCTCCCCTCCGTGTGTATGTGTGTGTGTGAGAGAGAGAGAGAGAGAGACAGAGAGAGAGAGAGACAGAGAGACAGAGACAGAGAGAGACAGAGACAGAGAGAGAGACAGAGACAGAGAGAGAGAGACAGAGAGAGAGAGAGACAGAGAGAGAGAGAGACA